CAAAGAACATCATTTCATGTAGGTCTTTCTTTTTCTTTTTTGAGACAGAGTTTTGCCACCATGTTAGGACAGTGCCACCACGTTAGGAAGACAAGAGGTCCCCCACTACCTGTGGACGTCATCACCCAACAGGGCACTCCAGACATCCACACCATGGGTCACTGAATTGAGAAATATTTGTTTCTTTTTGTCTCTCACTTTCACTTGAATGGAATGGCTAATGTTTCTGACCCCTGACTTCCTATGCCAATCTGAGCAGGTTTCTCATATTTCACCTGTTTAAGAGGAAGAAGAGACCAGGAACCTCCTCATTCTGCTGCTCTGAGTAAATGCAGTAACAGAACACAAGTGACTGGCAAATCTTCAGTATCACTGGACATTTTAAATGAAGGTTATTACCTACTACTTTGGTCAAAATGGTTACTTTATAAAGGCAATAAGACACTAGTAAATAAAATACATACAAAGTATGATTGAGGCACAGAGAACACAGAATCTAGCTCTTCCTATATGAAAACTCCAACAATATTATTTGTGTGAAGTACCATTATAGCCTGTTGTGCTGTGCCATGTTAGAATATTCTATCTACAGCCAGGCACGGTGGTTCATGCCTGTAATCCCGGCACTTTGGGAGGCCAAGGTGGGCGGATCACCTGAGGTTGGGAGTTCGAGACTAGCCTCACTAACATGGAGGAACTCCGTCTCTACTAAAAATACAAAATTAGCTGGGCATGGTGGCACACGCCTGTAATCCCAGCTACTCGGGAGGCTGAGGCAGGAGAATCGCTTGAACCCAGGAGGTGGAGGTTGCAGTGACAAAAAAATCAGCAGAAAGTTTTCAGAATTGATTTTTGAGGAAATGGTCATGTAGGAAAATTGTCATTGCAGTGTTATTTAAAACAATAAAATTCTTAAATCACCTAAATGTCCATGAGTGGAAAGTAGTCAAAAATAAAAAGACACATTAATTAAATGGGAATATGGCATAACCTCAAAAAATGAACATTATTTAGTACTTAAGGAAAAAATAACAATAAAAAATGAGATATATATCATGAATACCAATATAGTTATGAACGCACATTAGGAAAAGACTCTAAGAAAATAAAAACAGCTAATATGTAAGCAGAGAAGTAAAGCAAGAGAACTGTTCATTCCCACTAATTTTTCTACTCCATAAAATAAATACAGTTGTCCCTCAATATGCTTGGGGAATTGGTTCAAGGACCCCTGAGGATACCATAATTTGTGGATGCTCAAGTCCCTTACCTAAAATAGTGTTTGTACTACAGTCAGCCCTCCACATCCATGGGTTCCACATCTGCAGACTCAATCAACCACAAAAGGAAAATACGTATGGTCAGCCTTAAGTGTACTCAGGTTTCAATCTGTGGTTGGTTGAATTCACAGATGCAAAATTCAAAGATGCAAAACCCCAGATGTGAAACCCACAGATACAGAAGGTCGACTGAAATAATAAAATAAACAACATCTAAAAACAAAGTCAACTCAAAAGGCAGAAGGACGCACTTAGCATAAACAGGTCCTCAAATGCCTGTTGTTCTTGAGTCTTCCTCAGGTGACATGACAATGTGAATAGTGAGATGGAATTTTAACAGCAAGAGAGACAAGCCTTATTCACCTTGAATGTGGTCATTTTTCCTCCTGTTTCTGGAAATTTGCAGAGTCCTGAGTTATGCCATTTGAGAGAAGGCAGAATCGTGCCTGGAACACTATGGAAGATATGAAAAGAGACATGAAAGTGTGGCCAGGGATGTCCCCACCAACACAGAAGTGTATTGTGAATTAGCACATGAATGTTCACAGCAGCATTATTCATAATAATCCCAAACTGCACACAACCAAAATGCCCTCCTATGGAAAAATGGATAGACAAATCCTGGCATATCCATACAATGGAATCTTACTTGGAAATTAAGAGGAATGAAGTACTGACTCACACTACAACATGCATGAACCTTGGAAACACTATGCTGAGTGAAAGAAGCCAGGCACACAAAACCACAGATTGTATGATTTCATGTATATGAAACGTCCAGAACAGACAAATGTATATAAAAAGAAAGTAGGTTACTTGTTGATGGGGATTTGGGGTAAGAAGGGGGATTAAATGTAAATGGGCAAGAGGAGTCCAATTGGGGGATGAAAATGATCTAAACTAAATTATGATGACAATTACTACATTCAGCAAAGTTCCTGAAGATTACTGAATTGTACACTTGAAATGGGTGAATTCTGACATGTAAAATACACCTCAATAAAGTTGGAAAAAAATTATTATTATTATTATTTTTTTTTTTTGAGACGGAGTCTCACTGTGTCTCCCAGGCTGGAGTGCAGTGGCGTGATCTCGGCTCACTGCAAGCTCCGCCTCCCGGGTTCACGCCATTCTCCCACCTCAGCCTCCCAAGTAGCTGAGACTACAGGCGCCCACCACCACGCCCGGCTAGTTTTTTGTATTTTTAGTAGAGACGGGGTTTCACCATGTTAGCCAGGATAGTCTCAATCTCCTGACCTCGTGATCCACCCGCCTCGGCCTCCCAAAGTGCTGGGATTACAGGCTTGAGCCACCGCGCCCGGCCGGAAAAAAATTATTAATCTACATGTCATTTAACAAGACTGAGTTCTGAGTCCATATTGATAGAATATTTACTTCTGAATGGATGAATAAGCAAACAGGGGAACAGGGGATGCTGGTCTTTACAGTATGATGCCTGCTAACAAGTATATCTACCCATAAAAATTAATTTTATTTTATTTTATTTATTTAAGATGGAGTTTTGCTCTTGTTACCCAGGCTGGAGTGCAGTGGTGCAATCTCAGCTCACTGCAACCTCCTCCTCCTGGGTTCAAGCGATTCTCATGCCTCAGCCACCAGAGTAGCTGGGACTGCAGGCGTGCACCACCACATGCAGCTAATTTTTGTATCTTTAGTAGAGACAGGGGTTTTTGCCATGTTGGCCAGGTGGGTCTCGAACTCCTGGCCTCAAGTGATCCACCGGCCTTGACCTCCCAAAGTGCTGGGATTACTTGGGCTCTGACCCCGGGTGCCTTGGTTCCATAACTCAGGATTCAGGCCTGACCCACCATGCCCTGCCCTCTTATGCCATTTTTGCAACTTTTCTATAGACTTAAGATTGTATAATTACTGTATTAAAGTTTTTTTAAAATCGGGAAATAGGCCGGGCGCGGTGGCTCAAGCCTGTAATCCCAGCACTTTGGGAGGCCGAGACGGGCGAATCACGAGGTCAGGAGATTGAGTCCATCCTGGCTAACACGGTGAAACCCCGTCTCTACTAAAAAATACAAAAAACTAGCCGGGCGAGGTGGCGGGCGCCTGTAGTCCCAGCTACTCGGAAGGCTGAGGCAGGAGAATGCCGTGAACCCGGGAGGCGGAGCTTGTAGTGAGCTGAGATCCGGCCACTGCACTCCAGCCTGGGCGACAGAGCGAGACTCCGTCTCAAAAAAAAAAAAAAAAAATCGGGAAATAGTCACAGGAGTAATAATAATGAGAAGAATAAGAATGAGCATGATAGAACACAGCAGGTTGCTAGTTTATTATCTCCGTATTTGGAAATTTCCATGGATAAGCAGATAAGTAGAAAAACACTGAGAAATGTATAATAAAAATGTTGTAAAACATAAGTAAATAAATATAAACATAGAACCACGAAAACCAAACGTATTAGGAATTTAACCATTACTATCTTTACATCCTGGTTTCATAGGTAATTAAAATTTTTGTATCTTCATATTTCTGTAATTTCTGAATGCTCCACAGTGATATGGTTCTATTAGAATGTGAAATATTTGTAATAAATGACACAAAATAGTTGACAGTTTTTAAAAACTGAGAAAACTCCAAGCCAATTAGCCTTGCTCTTAAGGTCCTTTAATCAAGTTCTGACTTACTTTCCCCACCTGAGTCCAGCTAGTTCCTCTGCCTTAATGAGAATATATCCAAGAGATGATCAACTCGGGCTCTGACCCTGAGTGCCTAGGTTCCAACCTCAGCTCCATCTCTTACTACTTGGATGACCAGTACCTCTCCACAGAGTCACGGTGCGACTTAAACGTTCTAATTGTATAAAGACCCTAGAATTGAAGTTAGCAATTAAGGCTTAATTATTATAAATGCCCATACCCTATTACACATGCTACAAAGACAGTCTCTGTAAAAGAAAAATGACAAGTCACACTCACGTGGAGCTTTGCTTTCTGTAGCCAAGAAGTCAGTCCGTGCAGTCCTTTTTCAGGCTGGGGAAGGAGAAAGCTGTGAAAACACCCTGACTGGGTCGCTGTCCCCGAGAAAAGTTAAATGCTCCCCTCCCTTCGTGGAAGTGGACGCAACCCTCGCCTTCCTAAAAAGAGGTCAGAAGGCGTCCGGGATCGTCCAGCGTCCTGCAGGGATCAGAGACAAGGGCTGGGGCTCTGACCCCACCCGGGGACCTGACAGGTTTCGTGGGAAATTAACAAGAAACCACCACTCACCAAGTGACAGGGACTGCTTGTGTTGTGTAACCTATTCCAGTTACCAAAACGATTCTACAAGGATGGTCCTAACGTCCCCATTTTAAAGAACAGCAAGGAGAGGCCCAGGGAGATTAAGAAGCCAACCCTGCACTGTAAAAAAGTGACCATGCGCCTGGAGTGCAGGGAGGCGGACTGGGCGAGCTCAGAGCCCCGGAAACGCTGAAACCAGGCGAGACGCGACCCAACCAAGTCCCAATGCCCCCCGCCTCCCGCCCCGAAACGCGAGGAGAGCCCCAGCCCAAGAAGGCTGACACAACAAAAGCCGCCGCCCTCGTCCCTCCAAACCTTTGCTCTCCGACGAGGCTTTTTTTCCCATAACCGGATCACCAGGTCCCAGCGAGCCCCAAGCTTAAGACCCTGACAGTATAAATGGCCCGCAAGTCGCGGAACTGGAACAAACTACGCTGGAATGCGCCGCGCCAACCGCTCCCCCTTCCCCGGAGCGGAAGTGCCCGCGACTCCACTGATTGTCGGGACTACATTTCCCAGAATCCCCCGGACCCGCCCGCGTGAGCCAAAATGACCACGACTCCACTGAACGTTTGGACTGCGCTCAGAACGCTGAGGGAAAAACGTTCAGAATCTCACCCTTCAGGGAAAGCGCTGGGACTCCGCGGTGATCCTTGACTACGATTTCCGCAATGCCAATGGGGAACGAATCCTATATCTCTGAGCGCCTAGTAGGGAATGTGGACTGTGACCCTGAGGATCGTCCTTCCCTCTCCCTGAGTCCTTGAGCGAAAATACTGAACAGACAGGAATTCCTGAAGTCTAAACTCCTCCCAGGACTACAGGAGCGTTATTGGAAAGCGAGGAGATCCAATCTTCAAGGAATAAACGAGGAATGACTTTTTAGGGGTCAGTAGATGATTGATGATTGATTACTATAAACTGATAATATAAGGCTAAAACTAAAAGTTTAAAGAATGAGCAAGGTACAATGATTTGGGAGAGGCAATGAAGAACAGAGGCGCCAGGCCCTACTCTGGACGCTGTGGTACCACTGGTTTGGCAGGAAAGGGCCAGTGGGGAAGCCTCGTCCTCATGGAAAAGCTATCTTCCTTCATTACACTTTTCGTGGTATTATGTCTACTGAAGAGGTAAAAACACCAAATTTCAGAGAAGGCCGTAAATTGCCCAGTACTTCAAAGCAAGTGTAACTGGTGAAGCGCTTGGCATTGATGTCAGACACCCAATGCCTATGATTTATTTAATGCAGTAGCATTAAGAAGGATCTTATACATAGGGAAAATATTTTATTTTCTCCCTTTATATTTTTTGGTTAAAATATCGTTATTATAGTTAGCAACTTGGAATCTGGCTTATGTTGGTTGATACAAATTAATAATAGAATAAGGCAAAATCAGAAAACAACCCATCTAAAATCCTTCTTCAAGATAACCAGGGGCTGGGTGCGGTGACTCACGCGTGTAATCCCAGCACTTTGGGAGGCCCAGGCGGGCGGATCACAATGTCAAGAGTTTGAGAGCAGCCAGGAGAATATGGTGAAAACCCATCTCTACTAAGAATACAAAAATTAGCCGGGCATGGTGGCGTGTGCCTGTAATCCCAGCTACTCGGGAGACTGAGACAGGAGAATCGTTTGAACCTGAGAGGCGGAGGTTGCAGTGAGCGGATGATCGTGCCACTGCACTCCAGTCTGGGCGACAGAGCAAGACTCCGTCTCGGGAAAAAATAAAAAAAGATAACCAGATTTTTTTCTCCTCATAAACATACATTGGCCTATGTATATTGTTTAGATCTGTGTCCCCACCCAAATCTCACTTTGAAATGTGATCCCCAATGTTGGAGTTGGGGCCTGGTAGGAGGTGATTGGATCATTGGGGAGGTTTCTAATGGTTTAGCACCATCCCCCTGGTGCTGTTCTCCTGATAGAGTTCTCATGAGATCTGGTTGTTCAAAATTGTGTAGCACCTCACTGCTCGCTCTTTTCCTCCTACTGTGGCCATGTGAAGTGTTGGCTCCCTAGTTGCCTTGCAGCATAATTGTAAGTTTCCAGAGGCCTCCCCAGAAGCTGAGCTGATGCTGCCATACTTCCTCTACAGCCTGCAGGACCCTGCATTAGCCAATTAAACCTCTTTATAAATTACCCAGACTCAAGTATTTCTTTATAGCAATGCGGGAATGGACTAATACACATCAATCTATGTTTTTGTTTTTTAAAAAACGAAGTCTCACGTTCTAGATTCATTTTATAAACATTTTCACAATTTTGTTTACACATAAAAACAAGGTTACTATGCTAACCACACAATGCCATACATCCCCCTTCTTTGAAAATTGACTGACTGCTATTTCTATGCCAGTTACAGCTGTATTGTTGCTCTAGTCTGCCCTTCCAAATGACAAAATTCATTGAGATGCTCTATCTTGACCAGGCGCAGTGGCTCACGCTTGTAAACCCAGTACTTTGGAAGGCCAAGGCCAGTGGATTACTTGAGGCCAGGAGCTGGAGACCAGCCTAGCCAACATAGTGAAACGCTGTCTCTACTAGAAATACAAAAAATTAGCTGGGCGTGGCATGGTGGTACATGCGTGTAATCCCAGCTACTCAGGAGGCTGAGGTACAAGAATCACTTGAACTTGAGAGACCAAGATCACGCCTCTGTACTCCAATCTGGGTGACAGAACGAGACACTGTCTCAGAAAAAAATAATAATAATAAATGGAAGGGAGGGAGGAAGGAAGCGAAATGCACTCCAGCTGAGTGACAGAGCAAGACTGTCTCAGAAAAAAAAAAAAAAAAAAAGGAAGAAAGAAATGTAAATCAATCAATATCTTCTAAATAATTTAAATTTTTTTTTTTTTTTTTTTTTTTGAGACATCTCTGTCAATGATAGTGATTATACTGCAAGTTGGTTCAGATTTTCAGCCTCAATAGCTGGACTACAGATGCCGATATCTAATAGACTTTCCTTAAGATGGTGTTAAAATTTCTATTTTTCCAGAGTTATATTTTTAACATTTTGATCTTCAGCGACTCCAACATTCAAGATTATGTCTTTCTGGATTATGATCAATTCCTCTCCTTAGTGCATGATCTCAAGATGTACCAGATACTAGTTTTTATCCATTAATGGTGCTGCTAAACTTGAACAGTTGATTAAGGTGTTTCTCTCCAGAATTCTGCACTCTAAAATTATTTTTCCCCTAAAAAGTTACTACTATCTGGTGAAAAATTGAGATACTCCAACTTATTCTATGTTTATTTCTTGGCATTATGCTCTAAGAAAAAGCTTTCCATCTATATTATTTATTTGTTTATACCAGTGTGGATTTGTGAATTTCTATTATATTAATGAGTTCACATCTACTACTGTTATTATTTTGATTCTCTGGTTGTCTCAGATTTTGCCAGTAAAATCCTCTTCAAGCAGTCCCCTATTGCCTTCTAGCTCTTCCTGTTCATCATGATATGAGCTCCTTGTGCACTGGTTTACTTTCTGATACTGTGTGCTGTGTGTTCCAAGTTCATTAGGTATTTTTCAAGTTCATTGGGTATTTTCCCTACCCTAGCCATGAGATCAGATATTTCTCCTAGGACTTCTGGTTCCTATTTGTGGAAAATGTAGTTAGAAACAAAGAACTGAGTGCTGGGTGTGATCACTGCTACCTTAGTGTTATTGATTCTTGACCCTCTCAGCTGACAAAACTAGCAAATATATACTTTTTTTTTTTGAGACGGAGTGTTGCTCTTATTGCCCAGGCTGGAGTGCAATGATGCAATCTCGGCTCAGTGCAATGTCTGCGTCCCAGGTTCAAGTGATTCTCCTGCCTCAGCCTCCCAAGTAGCTGGGATTATAGGCATGCACCACCACGCTCAACTAATTTTGTATTTTTTGTAGAGATGGGGTTTCACCATGTTGGTCAGGCTGGTCTTGAACTCCTGACCTCGAGTGATCTGCCCACCTCGGCCCAGCCTTTTTGTTTGTTTTTTGTTTTTTGTGGTAGAGACAGAGTCTCACCATGTTGCTCAGGCTGGTCTCAAACTTCTAGACTCAAGCAGTCCTCTCGCCTCAGTCTTTTTCCACTTTTTATACTGCTATTGATGTCTACTTGTTATGATCTAGATTGCAATTGGAAAATACATTTTTATAGTGTCAAACTTTTACATTTATCAAGACTTGTTTTGTGGCCTAATATATGGTCTGTCTTGAAGACTGTTTCATGTGCAGTTGAGAAAATGTGTATTCTGTTGAGGGACGGAGAGTTATGTAAATGTCTCTTAGGTTGAATTGATGTATAATGTTCTTCAAATTATCTGTTTCCTTATTTATCTTTTGTCTGGGTGTCCTATGCATTTGAAAGAAAGGTAGGGAGTCTCTTTCTATTATTGGAGAGCTGTATATTTCTCCCTTCAATTCTGTCAGTATTTACATTTTATATTTCAGAACTCTGACATTTGGTGCATATATAAGTGTTTCATCTTAGTGAAATGAACCTTTTAGCAATATTAATGTCTCGTTTAACAGTTTTTGACTTAAAATCTAATTTATCTGTTGTTAGTATAGCTACCTGCACTGTTACTTTTTTTACATGGAATACCTTTCTCCATCATTTGCCTTTCATCTATGCATGTCATTAGTTCTAATGTGCAGAGCATATAATTAGATACTGTCTTTCAATCATTTTGACAAACTACATCTTTTTATTGGGAAGTTTCATTAATTTCACTTAAACTAATTATACACAGGTAAGGATTACCATTTTAAATTTGTGTTTTGTATGTCCTATTGTGTTTTTTCCCCTCATTTCCTTCATTACTATTGTCCTTTGTGTTGAGGTCTTTTTTTGTAGTGATACATTTTGAATCACTTCTTTTTTCTTTTTTTTTTTTTTTTGAGATGGAGTCTCACTGTGTCGCCCAGGCTGGAGTGCAGTGGCGTATTCTCAGCCTACTACAAGACCTCTACCTCCTGGGTTCAAGCAATTCTCCTGCCTCAGCCTCCTGAGTAGCTGGGACTACAGGCACATGCCACCACGCCCAACTAATTTTTTTTGTATTTTTAGTAGAGATGGGATTTCACCATGTTGGCCAGAATGGTCTTGATCTCTTGACCTCATGATCCACCCGCCTCAGCCTCTGGAGGTGCTGGTATTACGGGCATGAGCCACTGTGCCCTGCCTTGAATCACTTCTTATTTTCCTTTGTGCATGTTTCATTGGTATTTTCTTTATAGCTATCATAAGTATAGGCAACATCCTAAAGTTATAACAACGTTTTACATTGATACCAACTTCACTTCAATCACATATAAGAACCCTACTCCTTCACAGCTTCTTCCTTCCCATACTGTTACTGATCTCATAGTACATCTTTACGTATTGTGTACTTATTTACATAGATTGGTAGTCATTTTTATGCATTTGTCTTTTACATTGTATAGAAAATAAAAACTGGGATTACAAACTAAAATTACTATCATAATGTTGTTTGTATTGCTTCATGTACTTGCCTTTAGTAGAGATCTTTATATTTTCATATGATTTCAAGTTATTGTCTAAAATCCTTTCATTTCAACTTGGAAGGATTGATTCTCTTTATCAGTTTTCCAGGCTGGAGTGCAGTGGCGCAATCTTGGTTCACTGCAACTTCCACTTCCCAGGTTCAAGCAATTCTCCTGCCTCAGCCTCCTGTGTAGCTGGGATTACAGGTGCCCACTAGCAAGCCCGGCTAATTTTTGTATTTTTAGTAAAGACAGGGTTTCACCATGTTGGCCATGCTGGTCTCAAACTCCTGGCCTCAAATGATCTGCCTGCCTCAGCCTCCCAAAGTGCTGAGATTACAGGCGTGACTGCACCTGGCCCCTTTATCAATTCTTGAATAACTTGTCTACTGGCAATTAATTCTCTCAGCTTATGTTTTTCCTGAAAAGTTATTAATTGATCGCTCATTTTGGAAGTATAGTTTTGCTGAATATAGAATCCTTAATACACCAGGTTTTTTTCCAGCACTTTAATACATCATCTGGCCTTGGAGATTTGCAGAGAAATCCACTAATGATCTTTTTTTTTTTTTTCCTTTTTCCTTTTTTGAGACAGAGTCTCCATCACCCAGGCTAGAGTGCAGGGGCATGAT